TCTCTGCAGGTCTCCCCACTGTCTCTGAAGATCTCCCCACTGTCTCTGCAGGTTTCCCCACTGTCTCTGGGGATCTCTCTCTGGGTGTTCCCACTGTCTCTGCAGGTCTCCCCACTGTCTCTGTGGGTGTCCCCACTGTCTCTGTGGGTCTCCCCACCGTCTCTGTGGGTGTCCCTACCGTCTCTGCAGATCTCCCCACTGTCTCTGCAGATCTTCCCACTGTTTCTGTGGGTATTCCCACCATCTCTGCAGGTCTTCCCACTGTCTCTGCAGGTCTCCCCACTGTCTCTGTGGGTATTCCCACCATCTCTGCAGGTCTTCCTACTGTCTCTGCAGGTCTCCCCACTATCTCTACAGGTTTCCCCACTGTCTCTGTGGGTGTTCCCACCATCTCTGCAGGTCTCCCCACTGTCTCTGCAGATCTCCCCACTGTCTCTGTGGGTGTCCCCACTGTCTCTGCAGATCTCCCCACTGTCTCTGTGGGTGTTCCCACCATCTCTGCAGGTCTTCCTACCATCTCCCCAAATCTCCCCACTGTCTCCACAAGTCTCCCAACAGTTCCTGGGAGTTTCTCAACAGTTTCGTCAACCTCTGGGAGTTTGTTTAGTAGTCCTCAGACTTTAGCTCCAACCATTTCTGGGAGCACTTCAGGAAGCATCTCAACAACATCAGGTGATATTTCTGTTGCTCAAACCATCTCTAAAGACCCCTTCACGTGGCTGGTAGCTTGAGGTGGGGTTGCTTCCTGTGCTCTCTAAGTGTAACTCTGGCAGTCTCCTGGACCATTGCTGAAACAGTTCCCCTTGCCTTGTGGTTCTACAAAGTCCCTCTGCCTGCTTTTCAATTGATCAACTCCCCTCCTCCTTATGTTGTTGTTGTTAAGTGCCATCAAGTAGGTTCTGACCCATAGCGACTCTATATAGGGTTTCTGAGGAGCAGCTGGTGAGCTTGAACCACCAACTTTGTAGTTCAAATGGCTTTGCACTGTGATGCATTAACCCACAGTGCCACCCCAGGACTCCTTATACCTAATGCTTTTTGTATCCTGTCAAGGATATTTCTGTCTACTTAAAGATCACAAAAAATCCTCTTTTGCATCTTCTAAAAGCTTTAAGCTTTTCAGTTTAAGTACATGAGCTATCCCAAATTAATTTCTGTGCATAGTGTGAGGTAGGAGTCAATGGTCTTGTTTCCTTTCTTCCTTACAAATAGCCAGTTGCTCCAGAACTATTTATTTAAAAGGTCCTTCCCCTATGTGGGAAATTAAGTGGCCATATATATGTGGGTCTCTTTCTAGGCTCCATTTTGTTCTCCTATTTGACTTTTCTGACTTGCGTGCTACAGTGCTTAATGCCTGTATGAAATCTGGTCGTGTAAGTCCTCCTTTTTTTTTTTTTTTTCTTTTAGATTGTTGTGGTTGTTCTCAACCCTTTAATTTTTATAGAACCAGCTCACCCATTTCTACCAAAAACCTGCTGGGAGTTTG